ACACCTATACACACTTTCAAATCAGCATCAGGAGTAGCCCTCACTAATCTCTATTCTCTCCTCCTCACACACACACAGGGATGAGCTTTAATCAGCTATTCTCTTTCAACTGCGTCCTGACGAAAGCAGCCCACAGAATATTAAGGAGCTGTTTGCGTGTGTGTGCGTGCGTGCGTGTGTGTGCGTGCGTGCGTGTGTGTGTGTGTGTTACATAAAGCAGTGGGGAGAAGAAGGGGCATTATGTGAATATTATTATTATCTCGGGCTGATTATACAAAGAGCGAGTGAATGGAACGAGAATAGGGATAAGAGAGGGCAGGTGGGCCAGAGAGGGACTAAAGAGAGAAAATGATGGAACTGGGTCACATCTATTCAATTGTACCTGTCATCATCACATTAAATGTGTTTATTCGCAGCTGAATGAGTGTGCAACAGCCTATTCAGAGGAGGTGTTACCTTCTGACTCCCATGCTGGTTCATAGGTTTTATCCATTAGGAAACTGTTTTATGGATAGGATTCAGGAATGTTTATTATGGGTGAACAGGATTATGTTCTTGTATTTAGCTATGTTTTATTGTACACCTTCAAGTTGCCAAACTCAAAATTCTCCCATAACCATCCTCAGATTGAACCACTTTACTTTTACAAGGACATCATTAAGGACCTGTCCACACAGGAAAGTTTTTGTCTCCTGTCACAAAGCGAAGATGGGGAACTGGAAGTCCCCTCTGTCTGTCCGTGCATGTTTTGAACATGACAACTTTTAAAAAATCTGCGAGGTACCAACCTCCATGTTGGTGTGGGGCTGCATCTAGGAGTAATAAAGGTTCCTTATGGAAATTGGGTTGCCACATCAAAATCCAAGATGTCTGCCACCGTATATGTGTATATGCTAATCTTGTGAGCTGGATAACTTGAAAAATAAGAAATGTGTTGACTTCCATATTAGTTTGTGGCTGCATCTAAAAAAACTGTCCTTGTTAAAAATTGGGTTGCCATGTAAAATCCAAGATGACCATCACCCTATCTAATATAAATCGACCACCCCAATCATTTGAGAAAATTAAGCTTTCTAGTGTTTGTTTTGCTTAAAAGTATAGTTTCTTCAAATGATTTGTATAGCTCTTGATGTGGCTAAAGATTCATCTTTGGTGGCCAAGGCCACCATTGACGACCCTCTGGCTCCACATTTGTGCCAGGTTGTGGATAAAATTGCTCGCTCCACTTGCCAGGATCTGTCACGCTCCGCTGCCTTGGACAATCCACACAAATATGAAAGAATAAATAAATAAATAAAAAGGATACTGTAGTTACTAAACATGGCTTGTAGATGGTGATGCAAAGTTATACCAGTGTCAAGAAAAAGGCATGGGGTATGTGCACAATTCTTACATGTTGTGTATGAATCCTAGACTGTACAGTATATATTCCTCTGTACAGCCCATGGTATGAAGTGTAAACCCAAGAAAAAAGGCAAGGATGTTACAAGTTACCAGATGTTTTTATGGACTGATGATGAAGTGGAACTACTGCTCTCATTCACAACACCACAACGTGCAGGACAGTGAGAGTTGACTGGTAGTGGTCACTCCAAGTACATGGATATATTGGACACTTTCAGACCTAATATTCCACCCACTTCGGATGTTATCAGCCATTAAATGGCTGTTATTAGTTGTTATCATCCCCATATGTAGCGGTCAGACTGCCCCTCCTGAACCTCCCAGTGGGTCTAAAGGTACATTGTTAGCGATGATAATCGGCTCTATTTTTAGCTTTATTAGCACTCATAATAGCTTCACGTGGTTAGGTTTAGAGTAAAGGGTCTGGCGGTTAGGTTTAAGGTCTTGGTTAGGTTTAGGCACAAGGGTAAGGGGGTTAAGTTTAGGGTTGGTCCTCAGGGTCAGGTGTAAGCTTACGTAAAAAGACACTTCCTGGTTTACCTCCTTGTGATGTTGCCTATTATCAGCAATAATATAATAACGATAATAACGTACCTTTAAACCTACTAGGAGGTTGGTGGGACAGTTTGACCGCTACATATGGGGATGATAACGACTAATAACGGCCATTTAATGGACTGATAACATCCGAAGCCGCTCAATATTCCACTGAAGGAAAGAGTTTCCTCACAATGTTTAAAGTTTTACAGAGTAGGTGTAGGAGGGTGTTCTTCATTTTTTCTTGAAATCAGACCTGTTTGCAAGTTTTTTTGTTTTTTTTCTGTAATTAAGAAACTAGCGTCTGTGGCACAAACTGTCATCTGTCAATAATGTTGTTGCGACTGTCATGCTTTGGGTCGTAGGTCAAATTGGAGGTGGGTCTATGACATCACAGTTTAAAAAAAGTTGCATTTAGGCTGCCTACACAAAAATACAAGTGTGCTGTTTCAGGATATTCTTACTCCGTAACCCTTTTTTGAGAAGTACAGCTTGGAGGCTCCTGAAACACTTTCTGTGTGGTTGCAAGGCTGAACAATAAGAAAATAAATCTATATAAAAACCTTTCCCGTGTGGATGAGAAAGGCTGGTTTCTGCTCCTTTGCCTCCTCAGGACCATTATTCCAGCTCTAGTGGTGACACTGAAATAGCAGAGCAGAAAAGCCTGACACCCAAACAAACGTCTCCCCCGATGATTCTGACGACAGTTCGGCTGCAGATGAAGCTGCTGCCGAGTGCTTCTGGCAGAAGACGCTTCTTTGCAATCATAGCAGAGAGCACTCGTTTGGGTATTGCATCATACAATAACTGCCTGAACATTTGTTGACATAAAAGTTTCCCCTGCAGCAGTATAGACTCTGCACGTATGAAAGGAGTGAGTAGAAAAGAAAAAAAGAAGAATCATTAAACTCACAGCAGCAAGTAGATTATTTAGCCAAGGGTCATTGCTTTATAATTGCCGTTACGTTTTATTTGACTTAAAGGGAATGTGATGCATATATTAGATATTTAACCAAAAAAAAAATCATTCAAAGCACTCAGATCTGTATCATGGCCATTAAAAAGTAAAATAAAGTAAATGAAATGTTGCTGATTTAAATGTGAATAAATTTAGGGCTTCTGTGCTTTCTAATTGTTTGAAAGAACGTTAGTGGTGTAATAAAAAACTATGTTAAGGAAATATAGATGAGGACTTAATTGTCTTGTTTCCATAATCAGAGTGAAACATAAAATAATGTATTACTACGTTGGCAGAAAGCTGCTCTTGTGGTCTCGCTTCATCTTTTCATTCTCCCTTTGTGACTGAAAGCTCTTTCTTATCATGTGGTGTCCCACACTCCCAGAGCCAATCCTGGCTCATTAGAAACAGACCAGAGCGGTTTTCATCCGATGATGAAAGCGTCCCGAACACAAACAATCAAGTGATTCATTCACATCCAGAAATAAATCACATCATATTGTGCCACATCAGACACTACAAGCAAAGTCTGTTTGTGTTTCTCCTGGTTTTGCTGTTTTGTCACAGAGGTAGCAGGACACTGATGAGTTTTACTCATTCATGGGGCAACAGTGCCCTCCATCACCAAACAACAGCACTGCACCGGCCTTTCATGCATTTCACAAAACCAATACAGGTTCTGCAGTGGATATATAGTTTTTTAGAGTAAACATGTACTGTAGGGTTTATAAAGCTTGAAATGAACTAATGATTTATTTTTTGTTTGCACTTTCTCAGCAAGTGGACTTTGAGACAAAGAGGTCCTACACTTTAAAGGTAGAGGGATCCAACCCTTACATTGACTCCCGTTTCCTTGCTTGGGGACCTTATAAGGATGAAGCCACCATCAAGGTATGCATGAAGAGTTCATGTGAGCAGGAGGGGGAATCAATATTTCATCGTGTCCACACTGTGCTCAAGAGGGCAGAGCCTGGACCAGTTTGTGTTTGATGAAAAAAACAACGTTCGGACAAGCTCAGCACTGATGCTTTTTTCTGTGTTTATGTTTGCATGTAGATTTCAGTGGAAGATGCAGATGAGCCTCCAGTTTTTGTAGCTCCCAGTTACACTTTTGAGGTGGAGGAGAACGCACCCAAAGGCACCTCGGTGGGACGAGTTCATGCCAAGGACACTGATGTTGCCAACAATCCTGTTAGGTAACTCTAACTGATGTAGTTTAGGACTAACCAGACACAGAGCTACAGCAGGCTGAGCTTCTCAAATCTGGTAGTTACTTATCCAAAAATGACTAAGGTATGGGTGAACTTGATGTTTCTTCTGTTACACTCAATAAGAGGAGTGTAAAATGTGTGCATGACACTTTCAGGGTCTCTCAACAATGTTCCTCTTGAAAGTCTAGACAAAGGGGCTGCAACAAGCTCCTTTGGGACCACATGCAGCTCTCTGGTTCCTCTGCAGCAGCTCAGAAATAACATGGAACATAACATTTCGTTTTTTGCTGAATCTCTATATCGCGGTATTTCCAAATGAAATTGGACATGACACACAACTGGCTGATTGATGCATGAGCCGCACGATCGGTAGGGAATTTTTATTTTAAATGAATTGTTTAAAATTATTCAGCACCTGCTGCACATTTGTGCAGCCCACATATGCAAGAGAAACTCCCTCCTGCAGCCTGTCATGATCTCTGGAGCGGAGAAGTGGGCGTGGCCGAGGGAACTGGCAAGAGGCAGAGAGCTGAAATCATGACATGCTGTGCTCTTTAAGTTAGAGTTAGAGTTAGGAACATTTTAGAATATTGCAAGAGTGTGGGTTAAAACACATTAATTTATATTCACACATATATACATATTTATGTATATATATATATATAATATATGTACAGTATTTATGTACGTACTCATATATATGTACAGTATATATATATATATATATATATATATATATATATATATATATACA